GGTTAGGGTCAAATGTTACCGTAACCTTAACAAAAAGGTGACCTGCTCTATCAAAATTAGTCACCTAGACAACGTAACACATTTTGAATTAGATACAGTGTTGGAAACAGGAGATTCTTAGCTTTACAATGATATCCTTGGTTATAATACATTTTGTTCTCCAAATATTCAGCTAAACATCTCACATAATGTAATGACTGTTATCAAGACACAGTTATGTAAGAAAGGCCTCAAAGTTAGCAAACCATTTTTTTTTACAAAGTTATTTTAACCTGTTCAAGAGGCCCCCACCCTCCGGTTTTTTTTCACGAAACTGTGTCTCAGGACTTCTTAACATTTAAAAAACTATTAATGTGTCATACCTGATTAACGGGAAGAAACTCAGCTAACTGACGATACAAACCATTTTTACCGAAACAAAACACAAGTCTCACAAGAAGTGTCTAAATGAGCCCTGAGCGAAAAAATGCCAACACACTTAGCACAGAACTCTAGGTATAAATACCCTTATTACATATCAGCGTATTGATTAGGCTAATTAATTTTAAGCTAGTAGCATTGAGGACAAAGATGTTTTATTTACATGGATGATGAAAAGTAGGGCGTAAGAAAGCTGATGAGTATGTGTGAGTGCGTTTGTGTGCGTATTTTGCCTGTTGTTTTCGACACTCATATCTTTACAAGCTTTATAATCAGGGGTGCACATAAAATATTTTGCCCTGGTTCTCAAAGGAGCACCTGGAGATGTTGCTTAGTGCACATCCTTAAAATGACATAAATCGGACCTTTTGAGGGGTACTTGACTTTATGAACGAGTGGGGGTAGGTGCGCTAGTGACCATGCAGCAGGGTTACTGTGCGGAGCGAATAAAGCAGACCCTTCACGCGATAGCGAGGGGTAGAGCGAGGGATCGCAGATGCCATCGTGTTCGTGGATGGATTAAAACAATTAAACCTAAATAGCTCACGAATTAGTGTAACGGTAAACCGTTACCGTTAAAGTGTTACTCTGAATACTAATAAACCCTGCTATCGTACCAGTTCTTATGCAACTCGCAAATATCTCTCTCTCTTCTCTCTATTCTCTCTCTCTCATCTCTCTTTTTATCCCTCTCTTCTCTCTTTTCTCTCTCTCTCTCAATGTTGGTGCGCAAATGCGCCTTTTTTCAAATGACCCGGTGCTCTTTTTTGGTGGGGGGTGCGCATACGCACCTGCGCACCAGTTATGTGCAGCCCTGTTTATAATGCCACTGAAACTCATAATTTGGCAAAACAGCTACAACTCCCGGGCATACACTTATTCTCCTCATAAGTATGTAAGTAAGTACGTTGCGCCACCTATTGGCAGGAGTATACTGTATATATATGGAACACATGTCACATTTTTGTTATGGAATAAGCCATAATTTTTTAGTCGCTTTGGAAAAAAGTGTAATTTAAAAAGTGAGCACCTGGAAAAGTGCTATAAAAATATCATGTATTATTTTATTTTTTGCCTTTACAAGCATCAATACATGTATTTATCATCTGATTGTGGCGATACAAGTTTCAAGGTTCTGAAAGCCAAGACTTTGTTTGTTTCAAATAATCCAAAACCCCAAAATGACCAACACACAAGATTCTGACATAAATCCATGTTTATTTTGGCATGTGCCATTTCAACATCCGACTGATTTTGGGTCTTAAATACACTCATTGGCTCTGATGGTTCTCTGTGTGCAGTGTCTACACTAGAGAGTGGCACTTCAAACAGTTAAAGGTCACTCAGAGCTGTGAAGGGCCCTCCTCACTGAGAGCTAATGCAGGGTATAAATGAACCGTAAGAAGCTCTCAGCACCAATTACCACAATTCACAAGCATTTATCAACCCATGGACACCTCACCTAGTCAGCTGTACTCATTTAGTACTATTTATTTTGCCTCTTTCGTATAATATTTTCCCCTAAGGTAACTGCCCCCACGGTCAGTTTGTGAACATCACGGGGCCCAGAGTGCACACAGTGGGAGAGTTCCCAGGCGCCTACAAGTACGGAGCCTGGGGGCGGGACCCCAAACCAGAGGCGGGGAAAGAGAGCTGGCATTGGCTGGTGATGTTGACTGTCGGCAACAAATTCTCCAACTACGTGCGTCTCTACTCCAGCCTGAGTTCTCTCATTGTTGGGGTTAGCATACCAGGTAAACAACTCCTCAGTGGTAATGTTACAAATGTATTGCCTTCGATTGTAACACTTTGAGTGTGTGTGATAACTGTCACCCAGGGCAACAATGTGTTTTTTTTAATAGTATTAACACAACAATGGAGCTCTATAATAAGGAGATCAATTTACTTGATATGGATCCTTTTGTGCACTGAAATAACTGAAACGTTGACTTAAATGTATTATGTCAACAGATTTCACATTAGGTAAGTTGAAATCAATAATATCAAGTTGAAACTAATATTTTGTATTTTAAATTAATATTATTGCTTTCAACTGACCTAATTACAGGTTACATTACTTTTTTATTTTGTTACTCAGATTAGGTTACTCATTCCATTTGTGTACAGGTAAGTACTAATTGTTATTGAATACATTTTTTTAAATAACCTTCCCCACCCTGATTTAAAAGAAATACTCAAGTGTGGCTTCTTCTTCTTCTTCTTCTTCTTCTTCTTCTTCTTCTTCTTCTTCTTCTTCTTCTTCTTCTTCTTCTTCTTCTTCTTCTTCTTCTAGGTAACGTCCTGATCAGCCCCTCTAACCCGACCACCAACACTATCCAGGGTCCAAATATTGTGATATATGGAGAGGCCTTGTACTACAACTGTTACAACCAAGATGCTGTTTGTCGATTCAACCTCACCAGCACAACTGTCACCACCGTGCAACTACCCAAAGGCACCAGGTTCGCTTTGTCTTAAGACCATTAATAAGTGTTGCTGCTGCCAGAATAAATTTTGTTACTACAAACCATGTTGTGTCTTCCATGTTTACTTGAAAATGTTGAATTCTGAAGTGTTGTCCTTTCTTCAGGTTTAACTCAAAGGGTAACTTCTGCCACCTCGATGAATGTTACCTTTTCACGGACCTGGACCTGGCGACAGATGAGTCGGGCGTTTGGGTGATCTACACCACCAACCAGGACTTTGGAAACCTGGTGCTGTCAAAGGTGGAGGAGGGCGAGCCGCTGAGGCTCGGCCAGACCTGGCACACTTCGGTCTACAAGCAGGGGGTGACCAACACCTTCATGGCCTGTGGCGTGCTGTATGCCACGCGGTACGTCGACAAACTCACCGAGGAGATCTACTTTTCATTTGACACGACCACAGGCGAGCAAAAGTTTAACCTCGGTATCTTCATCAAAAAGATGTCTCCCAACATCCAGGCCCTGAACTACAGCCCTGTGGATCAGATGCTACATGCCTACTGCGACGCCCTCATGGTCTCCTATAAGGTTTTGTTTGAAGAAATGTACTGAACATTTCAATGAAAGCCTATTTATGAACAATGGCTGCCGTGCTATTTACCAGCAAGTAAAATTAAGGATAATTCCTTGAAAAAGGTTAGCAACAAAGCATTGAGCAATTGGGAAATGACCTGTACTATACATGGTAAATGTACATGGTTAATTCCGCATTATGTATATTTGAATTGCCAAACTTCAAAGCTGATTTTTGAGAGAGTTTGGAGACATAACATTAGGATTCTCCGTAATCAATCTATTAGGTGAGGAAGAAATGATAAAAATATGATGTGAAAACATAATAAAAATGATTTTAAAACATTTGAGGTTCACTGCAGAGTGGACTCCTTTGTTTACTTCTGTCACATAGTGACATCACTATGTAACACCTGTGCTTCTATTGGCTAGCGCTTTAAAACATTGTATGTGATACATCTCTTAGCGGTTGACCAATCACAACAGAGCCAGTAGAGACACTAAATACTGATATGAAGCTGAAAATGAGCAGAATATGTGATCTTCAAAAACAAATGTCAACATGATGATGTCAAATGATCAGCTGACTCAAATTCTAGACATAAAGTCTTTATTTCTTACTTGTTACTTTATCAGTACATGGACAGAGACAGCTTACTTTATGTGTATATAACATATTTTAAACCTTACATTACACATCTGAATGACAGCAAAGTAGGTAAGAGTCAATGTACTGGTATGAATAGAATAACTGAGAGGGAAGACTCCCACAATACGAAACAACCAACAAAATAAAGTGTATTGCTTAATACAAATCAATCATAATGACAGTATAATGAAGTATATTAGAAGAACACAATATCATAATTCCAAGATGAAGTAACATCCTATGGTTGCCTATAAAAAAGAAGGAACTCCAAGGAAAGAAGAACAGACAAAAACGTTTTCTTCACATTACAGAAGTGTTAAAGTGTTCGGATAACCTGCTCTATAAATAAAAGTATCTGCAAGTGCCAGGAGAACTAAGGTCTGTTCAAACGGCCAGCTGACAGGGGCTTCCACACTATTCATAGACCAGGGTTTTCATAAACAGGTTTAAATGGAAAAAAAGCAGGGATAGAGTGCAAAACATGGTATGGGGTTCTGAGAGTCGTAGGTTGGCACTTAGAAAAAGGACAAAATACATTCAGGAGCCCCCCAGGCAGAAGGGTAAAGGTTGTGTAGGAGGAAACCAAAGTGTATATGGCAGAGAAAAGCTTAGTAAAGAGAGAAAACATGACTGGATAGGTCTAGTAACTGCGCTGAAAAAAATGAAAGGTTAGTTGAAGGCAATAATATTAAGTTGAAATAAAACAATTAGGTTGAACCTAATATAATACTTTCAACTAACTTAATACATACATATGAAATCTGTTGACAGAATATATTTAATTAAAGTCAACATTTCAGTTTTTTCAGTGTGAGGCGCTTGATCTGACTTTCTTACTGTTTATCTTCTCTTCTTTAATGTCAGGCTAGTTTAACTATTTAATTCATGGATATTTCAAACGATTCAACAATAATCTCTTCAGCTTAATCAACATCGCATTCTTCTCACATTCATTCCCCATTTTTCAGGTCAGAATCTCTCTCTGTGTTTAGGTAATAAAAGACTACATACAACAAACACTACGAGCATTTTAAAAAGTGACTTTAGCTGATAGCCCTTTAGGGTGCGACTTGGGTCTGCCTGTAAGAGCCGGGGCACAGCGTTTTTGAGGGGAAAGGTTTTCTTCTTTTGAAGGTGGCTGGGGGTTGCCCTACATTCTGAGCTTGGTGCCTAAATGGCTCCAGATAGCCCCGCCCCTTACAGGCTACCTACGCCCCTCCTGACAGGGGACCGAAGGTTTCTTTTGTAAAAGTTGAAACAAGAGAATGTGACTGTGGTGTATGCATACTGTACATTACTAGGCAAAATAGATCAGAAAAAACTGATCGACAGGGGGGTCCAGTGTTACAGCAGATAACAGTGCACAGCTCCACTAATCTAAAACTATACTAATATTGATGTGCTTTACTAGGGAGATTACACATCACATCAAAGTACAAACTAACCATATAGCGATGGACTTTATGTTTTACTCTTTAACGTAGTTCCCTTACAAAGCAAAGCCCACATAGGTGTCATATGGGTGTGTGTGCATGGGAATATGTTTCTGGTTGGATAGTGTGTGTGTTGTGGGGTCGGGGTCGCTTTGGTATATCCACTAAGAGGGCTGGGCGCTGTGAGTTCTTTGGTGGCGACCCGAGCTGGGTGGGTGGGTCCGTTCCGGCCTCGGCCCCCCTGGTCTGGTTTGGTGTAGGTCAGTGTGTGATTGTCATGTTAGAGACCACAAAGAGCCGACTACGGCCAGGACCGCTGCAATGGAGTTAGATACTGATGATGGCTCTATTTAACTAATACTGTACGCTGCTAATGAATGATGCCCTAACACTAAACATTGCTCAAAAACTAGAATGTGTTAAGATAAACCTTCACGTCTACATGCATACACTAATTAGTATTTATTCTAGCCTATACTCACATAGTGGGTTGGATTATAAATGTGAAACACACAGTTTAAAGCTGCACTCAGCAATAATATGGCTCCAAAGGGCCGAAACGAATCATTATCAGACCAAATGGAACAGAGCATTTTCTGAAAATACCACTTTTAAGTTCTTCTTAGGAGAAAGATTTGTCTCTTCATCAAATAAAACATGATTGAATTGTAAGAATTTGTAGAGCCCAGATTAGCATTAGTAAAATCTGAAAACACAAGCCCAAGGTCTCAGGGAGCTCACGAATGGCGGCCTGAATCGCATGTACAGTATGCTGATGATAGCACTTTTTTTCTTCAGCGTAAATTGGATATAAACTTTTACCAAGTGCAGCTTTAATGTCTGCATTGTGAACTCTAGCTATGATCTTAGACTAAAAGAGCCTCCTCTCTAAGCACTACAGGTGCACTCGGCTACGCTAGGCTGTGTTCTGTTGTCTGTCTAATTCTGGACACACTCTGAAACGCATTCATAAAGAGAAGAACTATTTGTTACAAACAACACAGAGAGAGATTACTTTGTATCCATACGACAACAGAAGAATACCCTGCTTGTAAAACACTGATGCCGAACACTGTTTTCCTGTCTATGTCCTGCACTTTCACTTTCTCTGACAACTCCCCATTTCACATTATAAACAGTAGCTTATAACACATATTGCTGTGTGGATTGACTCATTTACATCCCTTTGTTTGTGGAGGTTTGGGGG